GACCATTACCTGCCATATGATCGGTGCTATGAAGTGGCCAAACAGATACTGGCAGTCAAACAGATCAATGAGTTGGACCACAACGAAGACATCGATAGAGTTGTCTCGTTTATGGACCATAATTGGGATCACAACCAGTCTTTCGCTGCAATGGACACTAAGTCTACAGATTATGAAGTCTATAATCCAATGCTATTCACATCTATTGGCCCACAAATGTGTCCACCGATGGTCTATGAAACCATTGAACAGCCAATGTATGAGCCGATGGTTAGCCCACCCGTTGGCCAATCATTGTATCCATCGATGGACCACAAACTCCATGACAAACGACCGCAAAGTTTGGGGAACAGTAAGTCCAACGACAAGAGAGACAAGTTATTCACGGCCACAGTGTCGGTGCCCTCATCACACCACGTGGCACAGATAGTCGGCAAACAGGGTAACTTTTTGGCCATTGCTTTATTATAATACTAACCATTCAATTAACTTATGACTGTTTTGTGACAAATAATGCTTTTTTTGAAACAAAGGCTCAAAAATAAAGTTATTGCGTCAGAAGTCTGGGGTACACATCCAGACGCCCGTCAATGGACAGGAGCCGGTCTTCATAATAACGGGTGATCGCCATAAAGTGGAGGAAGTGAGGGCTGAGATCCAGTCGGCGTCCCTTCACTTCACGGCCGTCGATGAGGAGCGCAAACAGAAATTCAAACATAACTCCGATATCCCCGGTATGTATGGCTAGGTTTGGGACGGGAGCCACAACTCAAACATTATGTTAATTTTGTAGCTTTTGTGAGTTTTGAAAGTATTTTTACATACTTATGGAGTAATGGATTTTCAATTCAAATGACTATTTTGTAATTCAAAATGCATTTAAAATATTTGAATTTTATTTTCCAAATAATTTAGTGAATGAGTCACTCGAAAGTGGTTTTGAGTTGTTTTCCTTATTTTCAATGAGTTTTGAAACTTTTCTTATGACTAAACTGATTACTATTTTGACGTGAACCGACCAGGATCCATTTGCGTGAACCTGCGAACCCCGAACGATTTGATTGGTCTGATTGTGGGTCGAAATGGGGCCACAATTCGCAACATTCAGAAAGTATCGGAAACTTATATCGAAACCCCGAAAGAGAGTCACAATCAGTGGTTCACAATGACTGGTCTGACGGCTAATGTCGAAAATGCTAAGCATATGATCGCCGAACACGTGAGCCTTAAGACCAACAGACACTTCTATATTGATCTCATGCCAAATGGAGACAATATATTGACTTCATATCAATGATAATCTTTAGGTTTAAATTTGTCCCGTGATTACTAGTTTGTAGGATTTAATTGTTTCCTTATTATTAACCTTTTATTTCCAAATAGCAATTGAATTCACATTTTTACAAAATCCTAACACATATCTTATGCATGTTATCCTTAACTATTATTATTATTATTCTGATTGTTTTTTGTGATATTTATGTGATGACTATTTTACGCACACTATGTGTTAATCTTATGTTAAGACTATTTGTTATATTTTGAATAATTACAAATATTTAATTTTCATTTCATTTATTTCGATAATTTTTTTTCATTAATTATATTGTCTTTTAAGACTGTTTTGTTGAATGCTATGAAACTAATTGATATTCTTTATACAAATTAAGCATTTGATTGAAATTATCTTGAAGTTTAGGGTTTGATAAGAAAT